GCATCAGAATAGACAAATTCTGATTACAAACTAAATTACACAGGGTGCACAAGGATCGCAATCAGAATCAATCGTCCGTTGTTCCAATTCCAAAAATTTAACGATCCCCCTCCTTTGGAAGATGGTCCCGATACGGCCTCTCACCACCGTCAGCCTGAGGGGAGTCTCCCAATATGCCCCACCCCTTCCCCATCCCGTCCACAATCATCACCCTGGCTGTTTACTTGATTTTGTAACTTGTTGACACAACCCAACTCGGCCCACTTTTTTCTGAGGGCCGTTCAGCGGCGGGGAAGGGGGCGTAGGGGAAGGAGGGGGTGGTGGTGAGGATGAGGGAGGTGAGAGGGCGATTTGTGCAGTGAAGCGGCCTTCTATGGATTCATCATGCTTAATTTTTTTAAATTCTCCCTCAAAATTTCAAAAACCCTGTCTAAAACCATCGTCCTGCCATCACAGCCCATCCAGCTTCCAAGATTTTCCAGCCTACTGACCTTCACCACCCCCTAACACGTCCATCGTCGATGAGGACTGCGCAAGGCATGGTTGACCCTGGTCGCAGTAGTTCTCTCCCCTATTTTGCCTAGATAGGAATCCACAACTTCTGGGTCATTGTATTTGTCAAATTTTTTTGAGGAATAAATGCTACTCACCGATACACTGGAGCCTTCCTCATCAATTAGAAGAGGGCCTACGACAAACGTCGGATTCAAGCATGTCAGTTTGAATCTGAAAGATTATAATTCGCACATCACTGAATAAAACATAAAAGAAAGAAGAGCAGTACAGTAGAAACACTAGGATACGCCATGCTTCCGACTATAGTGAATGTTTGCAAGGGTATTTGAACTTGACAAGCTGCTGTTCATGTCAACCACAACCGAGGCTGAATTCTATTTTTGTATATCTGCACGAGAATAAGGTGCTCACAATAAGTGAGCGAGGAGGAACCGTGCAGCGGCGTGGCGCTCTGCTCACGTTCGGCACTAAGCCTGAGCTTATGAAGGGATGGATAGGTTGAAGCAGTGTGATTGTGATTTCGCAGAATCTATCTTTTGGCCCTTTTGAGCCTGCTCCCTAGCTCAGGCTTAAGGCCATCGCGCTTGCCGGACGAGCAGAGCGTCACGCTGCTGCGTTACCCCTCCCAACTCATTTAGCACTAAGATAATGGTGATATTATGCGGGAGGAAGTCTGCACGGCATGAGCGGAATTCGATTTGCGGGCTGTGTATCCAGTGGCCACCTACCCTAGCCTGTCACTACCGGCTAACCTTGGTAGCTAAGGTACCATGATATTAGACCTCAAACGCTGTCAGCACCACCCTCGGCTGGCACCCACGCCCAGGGTCAACCCTATGTTGCTACAAGTAGCAACGGGGGGTCGTATTTTGATGAGTTTGTAGAGAGGGGGGTCGTACTTGCTTCGGTTGTAAGAAGTTGCATGTGATGAGTGGGGAGTGGCGCGGGAGAAAATTTGCCGTTTCAGCGCGCGTATATACTTATATTCCCCCTCCCTCGACGGTAATTTTTTGGGTAAAAATTGTTTTGAAAGAGGGGGTCGTATGAAACATTTCATGAGGGGGTCGTAAAAACTTTTTGAAAAGTAGCAACGATAGGACCGACCCTGCCCGCGCCCCTGTCGGCATCTCCTTGGCCGAGATCCTGTGCATCTCAGCATTGTCAGAGTCTTCCCTTCTTGGGCACGTACACTTCGCCATAATTATGTGTAGATCAAGCTTGAATCAGCTCTGGGATGAAGGTCTTTTAAGGCATCTCCGAAGTTTCTCCTTGTGTATTACTTTTTAGGCTACAAAATCTTTTCATCCATATTTGAACTCCAACAACATAAAAACCATGATATGGGCATTTAATCTCGTTAAGGTAAACGAGGCAATCGATATTCATTTGAGGCAGAAATATTCAACCCTCTACTTATAAGAAATCCAGAAATAAAATCACGTACTTGTTGCCATCCTTTATGCTGTCCAAAAGTCCCATGCGGCTTTTTCGGCCAGCGTTTTGCTTTTCGCGTAGTAGTCCACCTGTGGGCTGTCGACATCTGTCCACGACGTCTCGTCAAATGCTCGATCCTGTGGATGACCTTCTGAAAAGTTCCCGTGTTCTGGGCCATATTGGATAGCATCACTTAAGCACTAAACAAACTATCAATTACGCTGGGCATAATTATAAAATATGGGCATACTCGGCGTGCTATTGACTTTGTTTCCCATGTGTACGTGACTATGGGATTAATCCCTCAACTACTGTCCTTGATCCAGTCTCTTTTTGAGACGCGCCACGCATCCGACTTCTAGCCAGAATCCTACTGGCATTACGAATGCGATTTCGAACCAATACATAGGAGCTCAGCTGAGTTACAATGAAATAATTATGTTCTATTACAAAAAGAATTTGAATCAAATTGATGGTTTCCATTATTTTCCCTGAGTACGATATTATTTAAGGGAAATTTTAAAATTTAATATTATTCTTTAACCCTTAGTTTTTTCGCGTGCGCCACCATGTGGCGCACGCCGCCACCCAGGGTAGGGTTTATGTAGGCTTATGTGAACAGCAGGGTAAGACGGGGCTAAAGTAGGTGTCGGAGTCTCATCATCCAAAAAAGAGATTTCCGTTGACGACAAGTTCGTAGCCCGCCTTTCCGCTCTAAAACTAGGGTGCAAAGAATGAATGGAAGCTGTAGGTGACATTATCGAAAAATGCGAAACAACAACCCCGAGCAAGGATGTGGCTATATTTAGGGGAAGGGGTCTCGGGACGTGCGAACCATGGGTAAGCCACCCATCAAATAGTAAACTTATGTAAATTAAGACAAAATGTATGTAAAATTTATTGTAGGTTTGTCAAAAATCCAGCCGTCCAGGTCCTGGGAAGATATGTTATTCCACATTGCTGAGAGTATATATGGGTATATTAAGATTGCTAGAAACATTCCAAAAACAAAAGAAATAGTCGTGCGCCACCTTGTGGCGCACGCCGTCCGTTATGGGTTAATTTGTTTAGTTTATGAAGGGGGTGGTGAGCAAAGGAATCGTCAGTCTCCGTTTCGCACGTGTTTTTGTCAGGATTTTTTGTCCTGGTCTGGTGCTTATGAATCCGGAGGAATCAGTGGCTTGGTTGCCCTGGCGGCGTGTGATACAGGACTTGATCTCAAAACCGTGCGTGTGGTGCGGCGGCGCCACTTGCCACTACACCAGGTCTGTGCGTCAGGAATTTTAAATGCATGAATTTTGATGAAATTATTATACCAGAGCGCTGAGAAAGAGAAACAAACCGTTAACAGCAGCACAACTGCTTGTGAGGACAACTTTTCTTCACGCTGGTTCTTTTGAAACAGCTCGTAGAACGTTGAGAGTGCCTGTGACAGCAATGTCCACGCAGGTGGCATCGGAGACGATCGGAAATGGTGACGCGATGTGAAGGACGTAATCGCAGCCGCTAACCACACTAAAACAGACAAGGTAAACTAGTTACTTTTCAAATTCAATAGTTTTCAAGACATGAAAACATTTCCGAATCCCCGAACACATCGTGACGCTCCCTTGTGGAGTATTGGCAATAAAATTTACGCGCTTTGAGCGGTTTCTTAATAGACTTTCATACTCGTTTACTAAGAGGTTGTTTACGAGTGCAAGTAGACGTGGGCTAACGAGATTAAGTAGCCCCAATTCGCTCTAGTACTTTCCTTATGTAAACTCTTCAGCTACATCTGGTTCTGAAGATTTCCGGTCACACCTTCGAAGTTTTGCGCTCTTATGTTTACCTAAAAGCACGCCCCCAACTGATGTGCTTATTGCACAGGCAAAAACGACGGCATTGGTGGCGAAGAGATGTTGCAGTAAAGCGGATAAGCAAAGTTACGTCAAAAGTTGCTGACTTCTGTGTTAGAACAATGAGAGACTGAAGCAGCGTAAGAGAGAAGGACCGTGTGAGAGAGCAGCGGGTGGGACGAAGCTTCAGACACAAACAATGCTGCAAGACTGGGCCAGGGTCAACCCTATGTTGCTACAAGTAGCAACGGGGGGTCGTATTTTGATGAGTTTGTAGAGGGGGGTCGTACTTGCTTCGGTTGTAAGAAGTTGCATGTGATGAGTGGGGAGCGGCGCGGGAGAAAATTTGCCGTTTCAGCGCGCGTTAGAAATGGGGAATTGTAAGGAAATGTAGGGAATTTTTGCGGTTTTAAGGGTAAGTATATACCCCCCCCCCCGCTCGACGGTAATTTTTTGGGGTAAAAATTGTTTTGAAAGAGGGGGTCGTATGAAACATTTCATGAAGGAGGGGGTCGTAAAAACTTTTTGAAAAGTAGCAACGATAGGACCGACCCTGCGTGGCGCGTAGGGGCACCGGTCTTGTCAGAGCCCTGGTGCTTAGTTTCGGTCACCGTCGAGATCCGGGGATGGGCCACTGGAGTTTTGTGAACAGGGGGAGGGCGCTTGGTAAGACTGAGTAATTATTGCACCATGGGCAAAATGACTCTTTTTTTAGCCTCCCCCTCCCCTGTATGTTTAGCACCTGTTTTCAGAGATGACATTGTGGGTTACCCTAACAGAATTTGCGCGTTAGAAACATACAGTTGCGATCAAAAGTGTTCGCCGAAATAATTTTTCGTGCATTATTTTACTCATATGAGCAACGCCCTCCAAAGATCGATATACTATGGATATGGTTTTCTAGTGAATCACTTGAAAAATCACGGTAGTCAAAAGAAAAGTTTCGAGATCACCATTGATTTTGTCTTTGCAAAGAAAAGAAACCATTTTGGTGAACACTTTTGACCGCTGCTGTATATCGATCAGAACAGTGTAAGATCATTTTTCATCCTAAAGTCGTCACGTGTCTACTTGAAAAATGAATTCTATAGATGATGTGATCGAATTGAATATTGACCAATACAACTTAGATTTTGCCGGTGAATTATGTGTGCGAAAAATCTCATTCAAAAGCCACCTAAGAATGAATTGATGTGATTCTTCCATACGAAAATGAATGGTTGTGACAACTAGCGACACGAAAATGAAGAAAAAAGGGAACAAGTCAAAATCGAAAACGCTGAAAATTAGGGTTTTTTTCGTTCTTAGGCCGATGTCATGGTTTGCAATTCGCTAGCGAATCGCTGGATGCGACCTGGTGAAGTGTTTCTGCCAAGAGAAACTCTGCAGCGCATCAATCGCAAACACTTCACTTTCTGCATATTCCTCTTTCTTCATTTTTTCTTCACTGCCAAAACGCGTTTATACTTCGCGCTACTCCGACAAATACACTCCAACAGCTGACGCGCTCATGACGCTTCGCATTTGAGTCCCACGCATGCACTATTGGTCCAATCAACATGCACCTAAGCTCTGGCGCAAATGCTCCCAAACTACATATTTGCCAGTTTCGGTAGTGACTGTCTTATATATTTTTGTGTTATTTATTTTGTTAAAGAGCTCCTCACAATTATCAAAATTAAAACAGTGCTAAATATATGAAATAGTCTCGACATGATTAAGGATAGAATTACTTAGTCAAAGTATCGTTATCAGAACATGAGACCCCGCTTTAGGGGATTTTTTCGCAAATGATTTTCTTTTGAACTTTTTGGAATTTGTGTGCCGACTTCTGGGGTTATAATAATGGAATTGTACCTTAGCCTTTTTGAAGATACAATTATGCCCTTCGTGAAAGTGATGAGGAACCTGTTCGAAGGGAAATAGCGTAAGGTTCTCGTTGGTAAATGAGTTGCACTCAAGTTTTATGATACGACATTACGACCGGCAGCCGCACTACACGACCGATAAGAAAAAAAGGGTCTTGAATTCCACAGGGGAGGGGGAGTGCTATTGAACGTTCATGTACCTACCTCTTAGCTTTCCCTTGAAAACTGTACACCGCACAAAAAAAAAAGGGGGCAAAAAAAAAAAAAAAACCAAGCCCTGCACCATACTTGCCTCCCCCTTAGTTGAACATGCCCAAATGACACGTCATTATTACCTCTTCCAGCAATCTTCCTTGAGTAAATCGGCCTCCACCAATTCGAGACGATCTCCTTGCTGCAGCTGTTTGATTGGTTTGACCTGAGGAAAACTGAGTCTTTATTAAAGTCTTCCGTTTCCCGACTTGAAAGTTCTTTTACACAGCGACCTTGACAATGAACCGTCCACGCGACTTTGAAATATCTCTCACCTTTTTCTCGTTTTTCAGACTTCTTACTGTGCCTCGCACTCGGTAACCATCATTGAGCAACAGTCGAACACAATGGGAAGCAGCGATGATGCTGAGGCGCCAGTCAGCGTTAAGAACCACTGAATAGGCATCGACTTGTCAAAATCTTAATATTGGGCACTGATCCGCAATAAATGAAATAAATTAAACAACATTATAATACACTAACTATAGATAAACCACCAAATAAACAAATAACAACGACATAAATCAACAGTAAAATATAACTACACTCACTCTCAAACCCCGGAACTAAAGTCTTGTGTACCCAGTCCCACAAGTACAGTCGCGATTACTAGTACGCTATTCGGGTCGGTTATCCTGCCAGACTTGTTGCCTGGGAGATGTAAGGGCGGAAGTGGTGTAGTGGCAAGTGGCACGCTTACCACGCGAGCGGTCCGGGGATCAAATCCTGGTCGTGAGTCGCCCGGGCCAACCAAGCCTTCCATCCCTCCGGGGTCGGTTAATTGGTACCAGACTTGTCTGGGAGGATAAAAACACTGACTTGTACATCGGCTGGCCCGCAAGTCATTGTATAGGCCACATCGCATTCAAACGCCACTACGAATGTACAAATGGAAGTAGAATGCGTGCCGCATCCCAAAAAGGGATTGATCAACGGCAAATGCTTTATCCTTTATCCTTTTATGGTTTTCTGGCTTCCTGACGATAGTGTGCAGGGCGGTAAGCAAAATATTTATGAATATAAAAATTATGCAAATAAGGCAAATAAAAAGGCATTATACATGAGGTCAGTAAAATCAGGCATGCAACGTTTTTTGTGTTTCGAAGTCTTGCCCCTGGAAGTCGAGGTCAAAAGCATTGGTGGCATTCATTTCAAGACTAGGGAATTCCTCGACTTTTCCGTACAAGGGAGCAAATTTTCCGTTCCGTTCCCAGCTCTCGCTTCAGCTCCCCTCCAAACCAACGGATTTCTTTTGATCTTTCAAATTCACTTTTTGAATTTTGATCAAGGAGAAATGGAGAAGGGAAAATGAAAGATCAATTGAGTGAGTGCAAGAATCACCAGAAGAATATGTAAATGGGTCAGGACGTCAGCATTTTCAAGGATCATGCTCTCATAGCAACCTCTGAGACCTAAGGTAAATGAAGTGGATCGAAGAGGTCGATTTCAAAGAACGTAACCTCTATGCAGGAAGATAAAGCATCAGACTGTTCCGATTAATCCCGAAAAGCCAAAAAATAATAATAATGGTAAAAAAGCATAGGCGTTGGTCAATCCCGTTTTGGGATGCGCCACGCATTCTACTTCCAATTTCAGAAATCGTAGTGGCGATTGAACGTGATGTGGCCCACACAATGACTTGTGGGAGCCAGCCGATGTACATGTTAGGGCGCTCATATCCTTATGGGAAAATGTGCCAGTGGCAGTGCCCTCCTGAGCAACGGATGGCACTAGGACCAAGGAAGAAGCGCAGTAGAAGGAGAAGCGTCAGATAAGCACAAATCCCTACACCCCTTCCCCCTTCCCCAACGACATGAGCGCCCAACTTAGCATTTCCATTCTCTGACTAGTCTGGTAACAGGAAACTTGAAGACGGAAGTCATGATTGGCACGGACAATGCGCAACCCAGAATTTTTTCACCGACTCGCGGGTTTGATAAGTGGCGTCACTTACCACCACACCGCTTCTGCCCAACTCTTATCAACGCCTAAAAGTATACAAAAATGAATGTATTGTAAAGCTTACACGTGTCGTTGTTGTTGTTGCTGTCCATCGCTGGGAAGAACAGCAGTAGTGTGTTGGCGAGTGAGTAGAAGTGTCTGTAGGCGGAGCTTTTCGACAAATGGCAAACTGTACTGCGAACAGTTTAGACGTCTCGAACGAGTTCCTCTTCACGGGTGACGAGTGCGAGTGGATGCCCGAAGAGCAGACGTGACCGGCTGAATGTGATCGACACACGGCAAAGGGCACTCCGTCGCCGGTCGGCCGCCCTGAAAATAGTGTAACCAAAGTGCGGCCTTTTAAAGATTCTTGTACAACCACATGCGGAATGCTGACTTGATATTGGCCTATATTATTTAATTATTGTTTAGATTTTTAGTTATTTCTTATTTTCGATTGCTTAGTATTCAGTATCACTTGTAGTTTTCTTCAAGAGTTCATTCAAAGACAAGGCTCATGATCAAACTGAAGTGGTGATCAGCAAAGTCCATCAGGTGAGGGTCAACCGTGCAAAGTCCAACGAGGG